AGTGTCGCCCGGCACGTCCAACCTGTCAAAACCTCAACGGTAATTGCAGTCTGTATGGTAGGGTTCTTGCAGGCCAGATTCAGTCATGATGAGGGTCACGATCTCTCAAAACGTTCTCTTCGTATTACTTCTGAAGTAGAAAACGACGGAACTGGCAGCCGTTTTTACTGGAATTTGATTTTTTTAATAAAAAGAAATGTACTGACACTAAACGAGTCAGTAAGGAAGATTAGGGATAGGAAAATTAACGCTGCCATTCTTTTCTTTGATTTCGAAAAAGCTTACGACCAAGTCAACTGGGAGTTTATGGAAGCTAGCATGGAAAAGACGGGAGTTGGACCGAATTTCAGAAAATGGAGCCAAATACTATACAAAGATGCAACGGGCTGTGTCCAGGTCAACGGCCTTCTGTCGGACTGCTACCCGATATCCCGCTCAGTGCGACAAGGGGACCCATTGGCCCCCTTAATTTTTTTGTTCGTAATGGAAGCCATCGCATCTTTCCTACGTAAGGACCCATCAATCCACAGACTCTCCAGCACTAACGTAGGGTCATCACATCAATTAGATTTTCCTACAGCGATTATGTTTGCAGACGACCTAACTGTCTTGATCAGAGCAACCGACTCATCATTCAGGACTTTGGCTAAAGCAATGGAAGCGTTCAGACTGGCCTCAAAAATGCAGATCAATTGGGGGAAAACAATAGGATGGTGGCTATCAGACGACGAACCCTTATCGTTACAAGGTGAGGAAGAAGCCATGGTCTGGGAGACGCCAGACACCCTGACCCGGTACCTTGGCATACCTATGACAAGAGAAGGCCTAGCGCCTCAAATGGGCCAGAACATGCTGACCAAACAGATCAATAAACTAGGAAGATGGGGCAATACCTTCACATCCCTCATCGGGCGAGCTCTAGTCCTGAACACTTCGGTCTTCTCAATGATGTGGTACCTGGCCTCCATTTGGACTGTCCCCGATAGCTCCACCAAAGAATTAAACCGAAAAGCCAGACTCTATCTATGGGCAGGAGATCCCAACAAAGAGAACGGTATATCAAAAGTTGCATGGCACTACATCACAAGGAGCCCACTAAAGGGGGGCCTAGGGATTATAGACCCCGGAACAGAAACCAAAGCCTTACAGATCAAGTGGATCATCAAACTCCTGATGAATCCGGACACCGCATGGCATAAGCTAGCTTTGGACAGCATCAGATCACCAGCCCCGGTACCCTCACCAGAAAACATGTCAGGACTGTTCTGGGTAATGAATAAAGAGTGGACTATAGCCACGGGCAGAAGAAATCGTAACAGACCAGAAGGCTACAGGCCGGCTACCCCTTACTGGACAGCCCTACTTCAAATCTGGCGGAAAATAATTCCAAACAAATCGAATAGACCGAGATCTAAAGACGAAGTACTAAGACAGCCACTCTTCGGAAACCAATGGGTGACTAATGAAGGTAACAACGCCTTGTTCTTAGAACACAGATGGCTCTCCTGGGTCAAAAGTGGCATATGGAAAATCGCACACATATGGAATGATGACAGAAAAGAATGGAAGACAGAACAGGAAATCAGTTCTCAACTAAAAGGATGCCACAAATGAGGACCAAACCTCTGCTATATTGTTAGCCTTATCCCACAAGATTGGAAAAATATCCCAGTGGAGGCAACCCCATGGAAACCCGGAGAATGGGGAATTAAGATTCAAGAATCAACCCTTTCGAGAGCCTTCCAATTTGCCCACATGCAACAAGACTCACACACCAAAGCCACCTTTCTGTCCTTCCCAATCTCCATGACTGCTGCCACCATGCCGACTATCTTGAAGTTGAGTCGGTAGTCCTGGACTCCTTTCTACTCAGGAAGGTAAGAGTCCTTGGCTCATGGCCCAAATCAATCCTCAGACCGGATACAGCAGTCCACAATTTGGAGTTTGACCCAACAGAATGGGCTTGGATGCCGGACAAGGCTAAAAATATCAAATCCAAAATCCCAATTCACGATTATACAGTTAAGTTAGGGTACAGACTATCACTGAAAACGAAAGACCCCGACCCTATCATTAAAGAAAGATGGCACAACCTGTTGGGCCAAGAGGCAGACAAAATCACCCAGATCCAATGGAAAAAAATCCAACTCATCAGGCCGATTAAAATCCGGAGCTTGCAGTGGCTAATCACTTACGCAGCACTACCGGTGAATCAATGGCTTCACAAGAGGCGCAAGAATTCAAATCCTAACAACACGGAATCATGCATGGTCTGTAACAATGGTACGACAGAGGATTTGATTCACTGCATAATACATTGTAGGGAGGCGGCGCACTACTGGGCAAGAGCATCAGCACTCTGGGATTCACTTTTCACAACCCCCTTTCCCGAACACCCCATCCAACTTATCCTCCTGACTAACATCCGTCAACAGTTTCAGAACGCAGAAAGACTTTGGTTCGGTCTCATAAGAAAGACTACAATATGGGTCATATGGAAGGAAAGATGCAGCAGAACGATTGGAGGACTATCTAACCCACGGGAAAAAGTGTGGGTAGAGACGAAAGCGATGATACAGGCCGATTGAAGGAGAGATTGTCCTTCAACAAGAACTGGTTGATAAACGGCAAGATTGCGGAGCTACAAGAAGACCATATTCGCTGGAAAGAATGGCACAACTCAACTCCTGGAAGGTTTCACCAACAACAAATAACCGATGAGAGATATGACGTTCCAAGACCACACATCTAAGAAGACTGGACAAGATGGGAGCAAGGGCCCCATAGAGTACAACTCGGGAAATTGTATCTCCTGACAAGGGTTTAGGGTTCAGGGTTTGCGGGGAAAGAGGCATTTAAAGGCAACTGGAGATGTGATCAGACAAACCAAAAGACTTACAGGGGACAAGGAGAATGAAGAAGGGAGAAGGAAGAAAGGAGGAGGGGATTAAATATAATAGGAATTTCGACTATTGGAGGTCGGGCTCACAGGCGAGGGGGTTAGGGTTTCGAGTTTTATCGCAGATCTTCCAAAGGGCAGGGAGGTGCGCGGGGAAGATACAGGCCGACAAGGATATTGGATGAGCTCTTTCTAGGGACAACGGTACTATCTGGCAGACTTGGACCCCAGGTCTGAGAGGAAAGAGTGGGATAGGGCAAGCTGACAGTCAATCCTCCACCGCGGTGGAGCAATCAATGCTGCTCAGGGATCTTTCGGCCTGACGGAAGGAAGCGTGTGTGAGTTTTTCTTGATATCGGTGGAATAGGAACCGGACTGACGCTCCCCAGAATAGAAGGAGCCAGGACCATAAGGCCCTGTTTTGTTAAAAAAAAACAAAAAAAACAAAAAAAAACTTAAAGGAAGAACATCAGGGTTTTGATTGGGGGAGGATGGTCGACGACTGTGTGCCGGCGGGGGTTTTCGGCTGGGTGACTATGGTGGAGGTAGTGGTGGATGAAGGCGGGGCTGTGAAGGACTTGCTGGCGGAGAGGGCGGTGGATGTGGGCACGATCGTAGAGCGGGGTGCCGTGGTCATGACCATTGTGATTGTCGGGGTTTGATGCTCGATAGAGGTCACAAGGTCGGATAGGCTAGAGAGATATTGGTTTCATTTTTGTTGATGGACGCACGGATGTTCGTTTGCAAAGAGGACATCATGCGAATGAGGGTGGCGATATTGGTGGCAATGGCGGACTCAGATCTTTGTTCGCTCGTAAGTTCTCGGGCGAGGCTGTCAACAGACTGGGTGTTGATGGCGGTCATATTGATGCTGGAGGATTGGGCCATGTTGGGGGAAGATGGAGTGGATGCAGTGGCTGAGGTGACGGCTGCGGATGAGGTGGAGGCAGATGCGGCGACAGCGACGGCTGCGCGCTGAGAGTTCTTGCTTTGGCGTGGCCTGCGGAGATTTGGGGTGGAGGGGGGTGGGGGTGGGAAGGGTATTCACAACATTAATTGATGTATTCAAAAATAAAGGTATTTTCCAAAACAATAAATGAATAAAATGGGAATTAATTCAAAATAAATTATTTCGATTTGGGGTAATTTATTCGAGATTAATTCGAAAATTCGGAAAGGATTTCGAGGGAGAAAAGTTGGAAAAAAGAAAATTTCAAGAATGAAATAAATGCTGAAAATGTCAAAAAAAGATAATTAATTAATTCTAATGTATTTTCAAAAAAAGAAAAATCAAAAAAGAATTTAATTAATTCTAATGTATTTTCAAAATTTTTGAAAAATAATGAATTAAAAGTAATTTCGAATTTCAAAGGAATGTCGAAAAAGAATTAATTAATTCTAACGTATTTCGAATTACGAAAAAGAAAAGAGTTTGATTAATTTTAAAATGTTTTCCAATTACTGAAATTTTGAAAAAGAATTAATTAGAAATGTTTTCGAATTACGAAAAAGAAGTGTCGAAAAAAAAATAAAATTAATTCTGAAATATTTTTGGATTAAAACTTTCGAAAAAGAATTGATTAAAACTATTGTCGAATTTCGAGGAAGAAATACCGAGAGAGAATAACTAATTCTACGTATTTTCGAAAGTTTCGAAAAAGAAAATATTTTCGGAAAGGAAATGTTGAAAAAGGTAATTAATTAAGTATTTGCAAATTTACAAGAATTTTAAATGAATAATAAAAAGAAATTATAAATAAATAAAAGGGGAAATAAGGATCTATGATTGATTGGGTGGGTAGGGTAAAGAAAAAGGTTTGCACGGGGAGATTGATGATGATGATGATGATGATGATGGGGGGGAAAGTCGCACAGGGGGGGGAAGCAGACTTGGGGGATCGCGCGCGGGTTGTGCGTGGGAGGGAGGAAGTCGGGGGCGGGATCGGGGAGACACGAAGAAGTTGGGGAGGGAGGTGGGGTCGCGATTGCTGTTGGGCACGATCGAGGTCGGGGTAAGGGGGGGGGGGGGGGGGGGGGGGGGGGGGGGGGGGGGGGGGGGGGGGGGGGGGGGGGGGGGGGGGGGGGGGGGGGGAAGAAGATCGCGTGGCGGGGAAGAATGGCGCGCGAGGGTCGGGAAAGGGGGCTGAAAGGACGATTGAGGGAGAAGAAGAGGTAGAAGGAGAAGGGAAATGAGGGGGAAAGAAGGGGAGGGAGAAGGAGGGACAATGACGATGACGATAATAAAGAGTAGGAAAAGAGGAAGAAGAGATGAAGGGGGGAGGAAGGAAAAGGGAAGGAGAAGAAGAATAAAAGAAAATTTAATGGTCACTTACCTGCGCGTCGGCTTCGGGACCGGTGACGTGGCAGCGACGACGACGAAGGCAGCGAGGTGCTGACGTGTCAACGACGACGAAGACAACGGCGATGGCGATGACGTGGCAGCAATTGACGATGACGAGGCAACAATGACGGCATGGCAACAACGAGGATGGCGACGACGTGGCAGCGCCGAAGACGGTGATGATGACGACGATGTTGATGACGTGGCAGCACCGGAGTAGGGCGGGAGGGAGGGCCGTTTTGCCGCTCCAATACGAGTGTGACGAGACCGAGGCAGAGCAGAGAGGCCGAAGGAGAGAGTAAGACCACACACATACACTCACTCAATTCGGACACGGACTCGACTCGACACGATGGACGCATACACGAAGTGACAAAGTCTCAAAGTCGCAAAGTCGCAATCTTGGATTCCGAGCACAAAGTTGCGGCAAGTCGCACTGAAACACAAGCACTGAGGCCGAAGACTAAGTCCCCAAACTCAGCTTGAGTCTGGTCTTAAGTACCGGACTCAAGTTGAGTCCGAGGGCAGAATTGCCTCAGGGCTGAACTGAAAATCGAAGGTCTGAGCCTGGGCGCCAGAATGTCGGATGGCGCCAAGTATCGAAATCCGAAAGTGCCAGAGGCGGGATTTGAGAACGCGCGCCAACTGCAGAGGGTGCCAACAGTCAGGAATTGAGATCAGAGACTAAAAAAAAAAATGGAATAGCAGCCTGGCGGGTGGGAACCTGCGGACCAGGGATCGAGCCCTGGCCGAGTACGTAACAAGTCAATAGCTTCGGCCAACTGTTAAAATGCGGAGGGTACTTCACCCGTTTCAACGAGAGTAGAGCAGCTACAACTTCTATTGGCCCTAAGTGTTTCCCGAACTGGAGCTCGTAGAGGCCCCAGACTGAGAAGATGGAAACCCACCCTTAGGAGGGATCTTCTATGAGACCTTCGGGTTCTTGCACTTAAATTGTTGATGGCCATACTCGCTGCAGTTTATGCAAGCACCTGGCGACCAACAGTCCCGCCACACTTCCTGATCCAAACTGACCCTCACCCAAGCAACTATTTTGTTTGGGTTGGCGGCTTGCCCCCGACTCCTCTGTTGACCGCCCTTGCTGCGGCCACCTGCCTTAGTCTTAACTACGGCGGCGAGGTTGCTACCCTCAGCACTCTCCTCGCCGTCTAACTCTGATCCCAACTACGGGGGCGAGGTTGCTACCCTCAACACTCTCCTCGCCGTCTAACCCTGATCCCTCCACAAGCTAAGAAACATCATCGATCTCAGTTTGATTCCCATCGGAATCAACCATCATCAATCGACTACCCTTCTTCTTCCATTCCTGTGGAGTCGTCTTCTTTCTTCCGTCCGTAGTGGGGGTTTGAGCGTAGCCTCTAAGTCTAGGGCCTTCTTGTTGAATGTCTCAAATGTGTGATACTCTAGACGAGCCTCACTGGCTAATAAGTTGTTGATGTATGTGGGAAGACATCTCAAGAACATGGTCAACAAGACCTGTGGATTGTACTTGACTCCTGGAACGACAATCAGACGCTCTACGGTCGTGGTGAACTCTCGCACTGACTTGTACTTCCTAGAGTCAAGTTTCAATAGCCCATCAGTGGCAATTTGCGCCTGCTGAGGGTTGTGCCATCGAGCCTCCTCTAAATCCATAAAGCTTTCTAGGGCGTGGGTCTGCGCCCAATCACCGGTGTTCCTGTTGAACCCCTTTGAAGCAACCAATCCATTAAGCCAGCGAGCTGCTGAAATTGATTATGAAAAGCAAACCTCTCTATTGTATCATCATCATTATAAAAAAGTTGCTGCTTCCCTTGCAGCCTCAAGACTACGGGCCCTAGCTTCGGTCCTTAGTCTTCTCTCTTCTCCCGGTTGTAGGGCCTGGAACACTCTAGGGATTCTAAGCGACGATAAACTTGTTAACCTTCTCTCGTCAGTTGTACCTTCATCCCCGGCTGATCCACTCATTGGCTAGGCAGACGCTGTCTGCACTAGTCCTCTCTGGGACCTACCGCAGCATGTGTCTGACAGGTGCTAGAAATAAATAAATAAACAAGTATCCAGCAAGTCACCTGGGCTACTATTCAAGCGGTATCAACAACAACTTCACAAACTGTACACGTAGCCTATCTCTATCCTGATTAGTTCTGAACATAAGCTTTGAGAAGAACTGACTATGATAGATTACAGTCCTATTGTTGCATACTCGTGAATACTTCAACGAGTATGGGGCAGAACCAAAGATCAACCAATATAGAATGAGCATGTATGCAGCGGAAGTCTGATAATGGACTGACTCACATAGACTGACTCACACAGATATCACTCCACACACAAACAATCGTGAGATGTTGGGGTCTGAGCCAAGCACAGACGATGCTCAGGCCCCGTACAAACATACACAGATGAAAGGTGGGAGGTGAGACGAAGGAGGTGGGAGATGTAGGTAACACTAGATGTCACCGGGATAGAAACCAGTAGGTCACCGATATGGTAATCCAAAATCTCATCGAACAAGATCAAATGTCGCGGACAATAAGTCACCAATGCCGGAGATACAAAGTCCTAATGTAACCGGTGTCCAATCTGTGATGCAGCCAAGTATCATCCCCAACAATCTCCAAGTCTCGAATCCGGTAAGTACCACAACCTCTTACCACCGAAGTCCAACATTGATCTCTGTCCAACTAGTATCCAGTCTCCAATCTGAAGAAGAAGAAGATGGAGTCTGAAGAAGAAGAAGAAGAAGGAGAAGAGATGGGGAAGAAGAGAACAGTGGAGGAGAGAGGTGAGGAGGAGAGGAACCAGTACCGTGGGGGGAGGAGACAACCTCACCCCCGAGTACCTGGTCTACTGCAACTGCCTGGCGCCAAGGTCGGCTATGGCTGTCCGCTGGCTGGCTCCTCGCTCGCTGCTGCTGCTCCTCTATGCTGCGCTAAGAATAGCGTTGCGCTCCTGCTGTAGAACTGAAACGAACTGGCGCTCTCGCAGCGTCCAGTTGCTGGATGCCTCAAAGTGAGGCTGGGCCGGTCTTTAGTACCGGTGGCAGGAGGCCGGCCTCAATGCTGCGAGGCTTGGCCGTGACCTGAACCGTCGAGATCGTCGGTTCAGATCACACCGGCGGGCGGCAGCCTCAAGAGTGCCGCCAGGCCCAAACGGTAATGTCGTTTGGGCCTGGCCGTCGGGTCTGGTCTAAAGATGCGGCCTTTCGGCCTGCTGTACCCCAAGTCTGGGCCTTTAGGCCCTACTGTGTCCCTCTGGCCCTAAGTCGGGTCCGGTAGGACCCATGTGGCGTCGAAGATGTAAC